CTCTTCTATTTATTTCTGGCGAGGTCTTAACTCATTTCATTTTCATTAAATTTTGTACATAGATTTGCATATGATTTGTTGCCATGTCTATTCCATTTTTTGGAGTTTTTACAGTATTTTAGGGATGTAGTTTAAGATCTGGATTGCATTTTGATATTGTTGAATCTGTACCCCACTTTTCAGCAGATAAGAATCAGTACTGGTAAAATTAGTTCAATAATCATTATAAGCTAGAACTCAAGCGGTAAACCTAGTTCCATATTCGTTATAAGTTATTACTGTATGACTCAGGTGCAAGTAAATCTATATTTTCTAAAGCAACTAAACATAGCACTAAACCATTTGTGATACTGTTTAGATATGAGAACTCTATAGGTATGCATCTGAGCATCTATGTATAATTGGCTCCTTTGTTTTGTTTTTCCTTTTCCTTTGTATTTCACAAGGGCTAAGGGGTGGGGGGAATGGATTTGGAGGGAGTTGGTTTTTTTCAGGGTATAACCACTCCTTTCCATCAAAGTCCGACAGTCGAGGATCCAATTGAAATTCACTCGGTGCATCTTAATCCATGACATGTCCATTCTATGCTGAAGTTAATTTCAATTGTTTTCCTTATCCATACAAGCACAAAATGGAGGTTGTTAAATAAGAAGTTGCTTAGAACTGCATAATAAGATGTTCCGGATCCAGCCAAAACCTGCTGCTCTATGGTTTAAAATCCGTGACATGTCCATCATATGCTGAAGTTAATTTTAATTGTTTTCCTTATCCATATGAGCCAAATGCCACAAAATGGAGGTTGTTGAATACGAAGTTGCTTAGAACTTCATCATAAGATGTTCCAAATCCAGCTAAAACCTGCTGCTCTATGGTTTAAAAATGTCCACACACACACAGAGTGACTATATGAATTAAGAAAGACATCTTAGGAAAGAGGCGTAACAATTTATTCATAGAGGGGCAAATCAGAGATTTTGAACATCCCCGACATTCTACAATACAGTTAGTCAATTATGTTTAATTTTTTCCTTTTATTTTTTATATCTTCGTCCTTTTGCTTCTCTCTTTGCACTGCTCAAAAGAAACTCATGAATTTCCTTCATTTGTTCTTGCAGCAAACACCATTATTTTTGCAAGACATGGCATGATAATTCCAAAAGCATCTATAATTTGAGAAGGAACAGATCTATTTTCAGTCGTATCTTTTTTTTTTCTAGAACTTGTAGGTTTAAGTAGAATAGTTAGAATAGTCCAATCAGACATATTACAATCACCCAATGGTTCACATTAAAAAAAAATTGTGGATAGATTTTCATTAAAAGTTCCATAGGTTCAATGTTTAGGTGGATACAATACGCAGAAGACATCAAGCGGTAGAAAAAGCAATAGAAATGATGATGAAGGTTCATTAAAGATGATGTGAATAAATGGAAACGTAGCACAACATATTTTTAGATCTGATTTTTTTATGGAAGATTAGCTTAAATGATTGTATAACCCTTTGTTACTTTATTTGATCAGATTTGCTACATTGTCTTTTTGTCAATTGTGGTCGTTAAATGTCCAATCTAACGGTTAACAATGTAGAAGTAGGAGATACTTCTTCTCCTTAGAGGAGAATA